CACCAAGCAATCTGTTGGTTAGATCTGGTCCTTGTAGGAGTTCCTGATTAAGAGACTTTCCTTTGTAGCTGATAGGACAATTGAAGACTACTCTAATCTTTCCTGGCTTTTGGGGATGATACACCCCATGGTGAGGGATATACCATACCTTCCCATCATGTCTGTCCAAGTCTGCTTCTGGAACCTTCTCTGCATAGCCTTGCTTTTCCAGATCATTCATGAATGTGGTGTACTGTTCATGGATTTCCTTGTCCTTTGATAACTTCTGTCCTTGTCTTTCAAGAAATCTTTCAGCTTGGTCCTTGTTGTTAGGCATAGCCACATCTCTCTGCTTTAAGGGCAGATCCATCTGATAATGATTGTCTTTCTTAGTGATAGATTTCTCCATTATGTCCAAGAAATTCTTGTCGTCAACTGACAGGCCCTCTCTGTGATCACTTAGTCTCTCTGTAAATTCCATATTGCAGAAGTCTTTGAATTTCCGTTCTAATTCCTCTTGTCTAGGAATGATGGAAACTTCTTCCTGTTTACAAAAACAGACTTTGTGAATATCTGCTTGCTCTTGAGCTTGTATACCATACACGAGCCAACCTAGCCTTGAGCGGATAGCATATGGTTCTTCGATGTCACCAGCTTTAATTTCTAGAGGCATCGATGCTGACGGAACGTTGGCTCCAATCATGAGAGTTACCCTTGAAATAGAGTTGCGGTTACTTATTTCGGGCAATTCTATGTCCTTCAGATGTTTCCATCGTTTCAGATCCTTTTGAGTTGGAGCATCTGAAACTGTCACTGGTATACCATCTTTGACATAGATGGGCGGAAGATTGATGAATTCCTTCTCCTTTACTCCTGCGATCTGCAGCTCATCTACAGTGACTTCTGTATCTATCACTTCTTCAAGATTCAATGTCTTGACTATTAGCTTGGTTTTCCTGGTTCTTGCATGCAGCCTTTGGGTAAGTTCTGTGTCACAGAAGACTGTTCCACATCCATTATCTATGAATGCATAAGTTGATATGCATCTGTCATTTCCTTTGTGCTTCACGATGACTGGAACTATCGTCATGCACGTCGATGTCTGGGGTTTTCCTCCAACACTTTTCTTCACATTGGTAGACCCTGAAGAGATCCTTCCAGCTTCACTTTGCACATCGGTAGATGTTGAAGCATCATTGGTGGTTTTCCTTGTATTTCCTTCTCCGTCTTTCATCCACCTGGGATCATGCATTAAAGTGTTGTGCATCCTGTCGCAGACATCACACTTGATCTTACTCTTGCATTCCTTTTTCAGATGTTTTGGTTTCAGGCATCGGAAGCAGAGGCCTTTCCTTTTACATTGCTCTGATCTTTCTTCAACTGTCAAGGCTTCAAATTTTCGGCACTCGTCAATAATATGCCTTGAGTTGGTGCCACAGAAAGTACAACTGGGTTCCCTCTTGTCCTTCTGCTCCCTATCCTGTTGTGTAGCTGTACCAAATGCCTTTGTGCTTCTTGATTTTTGTAGTTTTTCTTTCTCATCTTTATTGTAGGAAGCATTTTTCTCAGTCCTCTGATATCCCAATCCCTGTACCATGGGATCGTTAATGTTTCTTTCAGTCTGTATGACGAACTGTGCAAGGTCGTCCAGGGTGGGATTCCTATTGGCAATATCACGAGTCAGGCCTACTCGTGAGATCCACTTCTGTTGGAGATACAAGGGTAGTTTGCTTGCCAGAACTCTCAGAAAACTTGCACTATCCATGCCTCCTAAGTCCCCTGCTGCTCTAACATGCGAGCAATTATTGAGGTATATTGCGAATTTTCGCAATCCTTGTCTATCTCCTGATCGTATCTGCTCCCAGGCAACTGCCCTTTCCTTGTATGCATTTATTATGTTACTCTGCTTTCCATAGTCTCTGTGTAGCATGGACTTGGCTGTCTCATATGCCCTCTTACTTGGTTGTATGTGGGGGCATTCTCGAATAAGCTCATGCGCTTCTCCTCTTGTGTATTTTAGTAGAAGCTCTAGTCTTCTGAAAGGTTCATCAGTTCTCTTTTCAACCACATATTCAAAATTCCTTATAAAGGTAAGGTAATCAAGTGGATCCCCATTGAACGGCTCGAGATCTGGCGATGGTAGACTGTTTTCTGCAGTGAATCTAATCATCTCCCTAAGCATCTGTTTGGTGGCTCCTTCTTCATTGCTCACAGGTTCCTTGCGAAAGGCTTGTTCTTGTTCTTGTCTACGACCACCGACAAAATCACCTCTAACTCGTTCTTGTCCACGATCACGGAAAGAGTCACCTCTAACTTGATCTCGTTCTTGTCCACGACCACCGACAAAATCATCTCTAACTCGTTCTCGTTCTTGTCCACGATCACGGAAAGAGTCACCTCTAACTTGATCTCGTTCTTGTCCACGATCACGGAAAGAGTCACCTCTTACTTGTTCTCGTTCTTGTCCACGATCGAGGAAAGAGTCACCTCTAACTTGATCTCGTTCTTGTCCACGATCACGGAAAGAATCACCTTCCACTTTCCATTTCTGTAGCTCTTCCTCTGAATCTTGTTGTAGAAGCTTCAATTCTGCTTGCAAGAGAATAGCAGTCTTTTGTCTTTCAATCTCCGCTTCTTCATCCTTCAAAAGCTGACTCTTTCTCAAATTCTCAGCCTTTTCTTTTGCAATTCTTATTTCTTGTTCGGCTTGTTCCATTTCATGTTGTTTTTGAAGTGTTCTCAGTTTCTTCTCAAGTTCACTCGTTTGATGTAAGGCTATCAACTTTGCTTTAAGTTGTCTTTCCTTCTTTCTCTCTCTTTCTCTCCTCTTTGCAGTACTGGCAGAAGAGGCCGATGATCCACATAATGACAATGTGGATTCCGAGTCATCTTGATCTTCTTTCCCATTCTCTAGATCTCTTTCTCTAGTAAAGCTCCTTGTTGCACCACTCTCCTTATCATCAACATGATTAATATCATTGCCATTGGCATTGCTCAGTTCCTTATCTTTCCCACCTGGGGATTTGGGAGTAGTAGTATTCCCATCCATAATTGCAATTTACTTGATAAACATTCCTTTCAAATCAGCAGTAACGTGTAGAGCTATAGAGTCTAGCCGATTTCACTTCAAAGTTTCATTTCATTCAGCCGATTTCACTTCTGAGTTTCATTTCATTCAGCCGATTTCACTTCTGAGTTTCATTTCATTGAATTACTCACTGTGTCACGTCACGTCAGACTTTAGTACTTGTGCGGTGTTCGCGAGTATCACGCCCGGGGGCTTTGCCGTGTCGAATTCCTTCATCCATGCAGTATCCGTTGAAGAATCGACTTTGTTTTACTAATGTAGAGATATCTACATATGATCCTTGAGACAATGTGGTAATTTCATGGTTCTTTGTTTATTAACACTCAACTGAACTCCAATCAATTCCATACACCGGAATGTACAAAGTAGCAATAATAATAGTAGTTTAGTAGTTTAGTAGGTAAAACAAAGTTTTCCTTCCTTGAATCCGTGCCCACATCATATCATATCTGTAGTTTCCATGTGACAAGCCTAGCTACGTTTGTACAACAATTCCAGTCAATCTACGGTATCCTCAAAACAAAAACTAAATTTGGCTTCTTATATCTTGATCCTTACAAACGATATGCAACGATTGTATTCCTTTGTCAACGAATTTTCAAGGAAGTAGATGGGGGGTTTTGAGAATAACGCTTCATGTTTGGAAATTAAGCAACAAAAACTTTTTTTTCCTCGCCGCCAAAAAAAAACACATTGTAAAAAGTATAACGAAAAATGTAATTTATAATCATCTCTGTATTATAATCCCCGAAGAGGCTTTGGGTAGAAAGTAAATTTTGCTAATTCTGTTTGTTGTAATTGAGAATGATCCTATTTGTTTGGTCTATAATCAATAAAAAAAAATTAAATTAAAACTATTTAAAACAGGGCAGAGGGGTATGTTAGGGGGCGACCACCCTATGACACCCTTCGTACTTGTCTTGTATAATAAGTTATGAACGTTAACTGTCTGATGGGGGGGGGGGGGGGGGGGCTGGCGGAGAACGATCGCACCTATTCTAGCCTCTAGGTATTATACGCAGGCACTTTGCCACGGGGGGGGGGGGGGGGGGGGGGGGGGGGGGGCACGTGCCCCCTAAAATTTCCAAGATCGGTTGAACTTTTTTAGACCCTTTTTTTTTTTACCTCGATCGATTACATGTATGTGCCCCCCAAGCATCGAACTCTGGCTACGTGCCTGATTATACGAATTATGAAATAAATAAATACAACCTGAAATAAAGGGGAATCAAGTAAGATTACAGTCAATTTTCAATCAGGGAAAATATGAAGGACGGGTTGAATGAAAAAGGTAGACCCGCCCGCCCCCCACCCCCTCTCCCCCCCCCCCCCCCCCCCCCCCCCCGTAGCTCCCCCCTCTTCTCGCACTCAAAAATAATACAACCATCAAAATAGACGAGCTGCAGACAAAATACGCTATGGCGCAGACAGTCTGCCGATTGGCGTAAGAGCTTGGACAAGAATGCGGAGTAAGGACACGGTCCGCCGACAAAAAACAATAACCAACCAATAGATACGGACGCGATCCGCGTAGGGACAAAAACGGCTGTTACCCCCAAGACCCTGGACGACCATGCATGGCCATAGAGATATAGCTCTATGTGCATGGCGCTGGCCTAGACGCGATCACGAAGATCTTTGATACTGTCAAGATACTGTACTTTAACTTACTTCCGTAGTTGACTTGACATCCAAAAATTGTGTAAAGAAAACGGATTCGAAAAGTTGTATGTGAAACTTTTCTATATATTTCACATCATCTCTCTCTCTCTCTCTCTCTCTCTCTCTCTCTCTCTCTCTCTCTCTCTCTCTCTCTCTCTTTCTTTCTCTCTCTCTCTCTCCCTTTTTTCATGGGGGGGGGGGGGGGGGGGGGGGAGGATCTAGTGACCTCATGAGAGCTTCTGAGGGCCTTGGAGAATAGCGTCGAGGGGCCTTTAGTACGTACAACGCATCGATGCGTGTACCACAATATACTCATGTGCTTAGTTTCACAATTAGCCACTCTTTGATAGTTAACACTTTGGATCAGCTGTTTCGAGAAATTTGAGTAAGATCAAAATAATTTTTTCGTTATCACGATATTGTTATAATTTATGACATAGATCTAGGGCCAAAGTTGTTGCATTCGTGTTTATCTTGAATTTATCGATATCGGTATGCTCATATTATTGTAACTGTATGTTGTAAGTTTTCTTTACTCTAATTCTAAACAAGCTCGGCAAAGCAGGCACAGCTCAGCTCAGCCATTCCCATCGGGGCGCTGACCTATGCCTAGCCGGCTGGGCCCGGTCTGGGACTGGGATCGAGGATGGACTGATGCTGGCAGCGATACGCGCAGGAAAGGGGGTGGGTGCAGCATGCAGGTAGATCGCCCGATTTGTGGGTGTATAATTATTTCAATTCAAGATTCATACACTTGTATGAATCTTTAATTGCAATAATTAGCTGGGGTACCATTGCACGAGAATGAAAAGAAAATCCAAGAGGATCAGTAGTAGGCCTAGATCGCTTGTTATTGGCATTGCAACCTCATTTGGTGGCAAGATTGAATCCAATTCATGACACGGTTAATAATAATATAAGTCTAGACTCTAGGGGCCCGTTCCTACAAACCGTCATAAGTCTAACTTCTTGACTAAATCAGCGTTAGTGAACAACTTGTCCGCTACGTGTTTCACCAAGCCCTCTTTGCCTAGATCAACGACAACATCCTGACTAAGGAGTTATGACACCTCTGACACCGTCGTATCTCTGTCATAACTATTTAGTCGATGGGCAGCGCCATCACATGTCATTTATTGGGTAGACTATGGCTGGCAAAAAAGGACAATAAATCCTCCAACTATGATTTTCTACACATTCACTTAAACAGTGAATTATCGTTTTTTGTATTTGATAATCTCATGAAAATATGCCATGTTTGTATTTAAGGATTTTCCCACTTAAATAAACTGATTATACGCCTTTATTTCCACATTGTAAACTCATCGAAGGGATATGTATTTTGCCACGGCAGGCAAGCCATAGTTTGAAGTGTATTCTTTAGTTTTCAGACCCATATTAATTTCGAGATGAATTTTATTTTCAATTATGCAAAGTGAATGGTTTAAACATATGTTTTAACGTTTGAAATATTGAAGTTTTGTAATTTTTATATTGTACTGACGCCAAAAACATTAAACACAAATTTCATTACATCGTATTTTTTCAAAGAATAATATAAGGGTGTATTTTTATAAACTATCAAATGAAAATATTCGGGGGGTGCCCATCTCAACAACAAAACTGATTCACTGGTCATGTAATGAAAAACTCACAATTATATTTTACAAGTAATTCAATTGTTTAATCTACACAAATTTGGAAGTATATTGGATCTCTTATTTCTTGGTATCATTTTTAATCTTTTTTATTACTAATTCATTTAAATAATTGCATTTTCCCTAATATTAATTTTGTAATAATCTGGTGGTATTGCGACTAAGGCTAATTCTCGGCTCCTCTTCTCGCCGATAATATCGATCTCACGAGATACTAGCTAGTAAGCTCTTCGTGAAACGGTTTAGGAAGATCACAGACATCTCCGTAGTTGGCGGATAAAGTTATGACTGTCTTGTCGTTGGTTTCTAGGAACGAGCCCCAGATCTACTTGTCTAGAAATCCTGTTGTTGTTGTTTTTATTGGCGTTTGTCATTCAGAATTAAATATATTTAGATCTAAGCCTCTTCTCTTAGGATTTTTATTCCTTTAAAATTCCTGTTTCTTACCCAGTTTGTGTCAATTTTCTCATCTTTTTTGAGTATTTTTCCTATAAAACAAAGACATTATAATAGATCTATACACTTTCTCACAGGTTTCACTGCAAATTTCTGCACGATTACAATACAATTGCATACCGACCAACGAAGGGTTGCAGACGGGACCGTGTGCGTTTAGCTAGCAACCGTGATAAATCGTCATAATGTGGACTACATGTACTTGCATGAATTTAATGACGATCTCAGATTACAGTCGATAACTTCACGCACGCTCGCCTGCCCGCAATCCTTCGTTGGTACGTTGGTACTCGTAGATGTACGTAACCTTCCTTCCAAACTGAGCAGGTCAGCACATGCACAGATAAGATACTGGGGAAGATGAAACAACTGTAGTGGTACGCTCATTTGGGCTACAGGGGGCGCTAGAGCCATAGAAGAGCCGGGCTGGGTTGATTAATTTTACGATTATTAGTTTGACTTGGTATACACCTAAAAGTTAAATAGCATTAATTACGTTTCCAATAGTATGCCGGGAACGGGTAAACAACCCCTGGTTTTGAATTCTTGCATAAGATTAAAGTGTTCATTTCGATAAGCACGTTGGAAATGAATTCCTGCATCAAGATGTACAGGTGTCCATTTCCAATAACACGTTAGACAATAGACTGTTTTGCCGGGGACGCGACATTCTCGCGAAGAGATAGACTCCTCCCATTTTTGTCGGTGACTAGTTCAAATTACTCGTATCTATGATGCTCTGTAATTGGTTATAATTGATTAAAGGTATAACTCCTCTCTTAATTGGTCGGATGACCTAAGGGTAATTGTATTAATCACGTCTTGTAATTGGTTGGCTTCGTTAGGGGTCCTCCTGGTTGGCTGGTGATATCTAAGCCTCGTCGGGTGCCGCAGTATTTAAATGCCATGTGCGGGGTTTTGTAGTCATATTATTTGAGAGTATATTATTTGATAGTAGATATTATTTGAGAGTTTATTTCATTCCGTTATCACGTTTAGGATGTGCTGCTAGTTTACTGTCAATATGGCTGCCCAGCCTCTGAGAGAAGCAGCTTATTCACAATGTTTATATAATAATAATACTCTTCGTTTGCAACGATTGGAGCTTATCGGCTGACTTATATATTTAATAAAGTGGACTTCAACTGTAATTCCGAGCTTCTTGTGTTTTCATTTATATTCGAACTTGTCATCTTCAACTCATTAACTGGCCCACCACACAACAATTAAAGGGGCACGTTCCCGCCAGTGTAGTTATCGGAACATGCCATCTGCGTAAGAGTAGTGTTCTGTTGGTGTCAAAGGGCAGCTATAGCACCGTCCGCTGGCGCGTACGTATTTTGAACGCCATCTGGAATACGGGGAACATGCCCCTTTAAGGTTTCTTCTGGGTTCCATAGAGAATGTAGAGCCATGTCAACTGATTTCATATTTTACTAAACTATTTTTAATTGAAAGTTTCATGAACTCACCTGATGATTGGATAAGATCTATAGAGATTAGAGGCACCATCATAATTTGTTAATTATAGTTTATTGGTTCTTTAACTAATATTTCTATCAAACTTTCCAGTTTCTGACCCATTGTAATTATATGTGAACCGGAAGTGCCTTTGCCATATATACCCATGGCGAGTGCTGCCCTCTGTGGCCGAATACCGTAGTTGCGATAACGAGAAGTGACCGAATTAATCAGTTATTTGTACATGCATGACTGCGATTTTTATGGTATGTTCTCTAGTATAACCATTTAACCAAGATCATCACTCTGTTTTGATTTCATTTCCAGCTGGGCCAACCCTACAGCGCATCATGAATCTTTCACCAAAGGTGATGAGAACCCTGTCCTTGGCTAGAAGGAACTTCATATCCGTAGATCCAGAAAGAAGGTCACTCCATTATTGCATCAGGAATAAGAACTTGAGAGCATTTCACAGTACCAGGTTACAACCAGCAATATCTGTGAAAGCAACTTGCAGGTAATTTTTTTTGTCCTACATTGTCTGTTTGGAGCCAGAATGACCTTGTGTTTCCTACAAACTATTTAAATTGTCCACAATTGATGCCATTTAAACAAAAAATATAAATAAGCCCAAATGGACATAATGTTAACCCTAAGACTGAAGAATTGTGAATGGATTATTTTCAACCTAATTCTTCACAAGGGTATTCAAAGTAATTTTGCAAAGGAAGTTACTCTCACTGTGATTACAAATGGAACTTAATATTTATGATTTTTAAAAATTTGTTTATGAATGTCATTCAAAATTAGGATGCAATTTATGACGTTGTCTCTTTCCAAACCGATACTGTTAGTGTCTTCAAGTAACTAGTATCCTTTTGGTTTTCCGTAATATGCAGTACAGTGGCTGTGGGGTAAACATACATGTACATGTACTGTATATCTCATTTTCTGCATCCAAAATACCGACGTGACATCTGCCACTCTTTTGCTTCTTTTTACCCTTCCACGCTTTTACTTCTCTTCTACATTTCTTCCTTAATATTCAGTCATTCCATTTTTTTCTCTTGTCCTTATTATTAATATTAATCGTCCCCTCCTTCACTCCTTGCCAGAATATGACCATCATGATAAATTGTGGTTTGTTGAGCGTAGAACTCTAAAGAGTGCTTGGCAACTCTTTTGGGAGAGGAGACTGTGCATACGTGTTTATCTACATTGTGTGTGGAGAAGTATGAATCTTAAGATATCGTAAATGACTAAATGTATACTATTAGTAGGCCCGTTTCGAGTAAAGGTTTACTCGTATACCCGCCCGGTAAAGCCAGTAGTCGAATAATGAACTTGATAACCAAATAATCGATGACTCATTGGGAATCCAAGAACGTCCCCTAAAAAAAGTCTGAATGGATGTGAAATAGAAATCTGTCACAATAATTCTACTTTCTAAGACATTAATTGCCAAGGAAGTTTAAATAAATCAAATTCCTATCTAACCTTAACTTACAAGCAAACAACTAGCGGGCTGATGAGTTTCATGAGTACCGAGCCTGCGCTTTATGATATACACATGCCCTCGATCTTTAAATCCCAAATTCTGACCTCTGCAACATCACGAGCTAGGCGCTGATCAAAACAGGTTCGGCTCAATCCCAATCAATCAAAAAATGAATACTTTAATTGTGATAATATTGGACAAATTTTACAATATAAATAATGAAATAAATATATATTATAGTATTTTAATTTATTTCTTCTGGAAAATTACCATCTAAACATTAATAAGAACAGCAATCGAACGAGCCTGGGTGGCCAGTACCGGTATACATCGGTATATATGTACGGTAAATTCATTGTGGAGGTTTTCGTGAATCGTAACATATTTAGACAAACAACGCTCAGCAAATCAGTAAAAATAATAATTTATCGTCAAATTGAAAACAGGAATCTTTTACAATTGCAAATAAAACAAGATTAAAGACGGAAATATGAATGTAAGTACTTCTTTTCTACTCAAATAGTAACTTTAAAGCAGGCTTTAAACGAAATTAGTGCTGGGCAAAAGCAGTGTTTTTCATCAGGAGTGGTGGGCGGTATCACCCTTGCTGGGCGGGCTCGCCCAGCGCCGCCCACCGTAGCTATATTGCTGCACCTGTATTACCGACTAGTCGATCAATTGTCAAAAAAAATCACTGAGTAGACGACTACCGGTACCAAAAAGGGGCTTTCAAAACAGGCCTAACCTAACTATTAGGTGCATGTAAATATAGAATATCATTTAATAAGAAGGTAACTCCAACACTTTTCTTGATTTCCATAGAGCATCAAATCATCAAGTCAGAAGACATATCTCATCGTCCCGCCATCTGTATGGTGCATCATCAGATGTACCTCTGACAAGGGACAGGTTTCCTGATCTAGCCAGGGGCAACTACTCTCAGCTCACTGATGAGGACGTAGCCTTCTTTGACAATCTTCTTGGGGGAAGGATCATCACCGATCAGGATGAGCTTGAAGCAGCTAACACCGATTGGCTTAGGATATGTAAAGGTGAGAGTAAGGGAGATGACTCAATGACTTAGCTACAGGAGGGGGGGGGGGGGTGGGGGCATAGGGGCATGTTCTCTCCCAACTGTGGGGTAAAGATGAAAAGAAAAAAAAGAAAGATAGAGAAAAGTAAAATAGGGAGAACAAAAAAATGATGAGGCCTAAACCACCCCCTGCCCCCCCCCACCCCAATCAGTAGCATTTTCTATTTGTATTCCATTTTCTGATTAAGACTTGTACTCTGCCTCTCTACATGTTGCCAATTCATGTATGTGAGTGGTTTAATCACTTGACTTGAAATCCAAAGGTCGGGGGTTCAATCCCCGACAATGCACTAATATCCTTCGGCAAGACATTAATCTACATTTGCCACTCCATACCCATGAGAGAAATGGGGACCTGGTAGGGTGATGAAAGTTGTTGTGTTATTAGTAATTGCCATATGCCCTCATTGTGACCATATGGTAGAAATACTCCCCAGGGAGTAGTGATGGTGCAGGAATCCGATGACCAGGGTAATAATATCTGTAAAGCGCTTAGAGAGGGTATTTTGTACTAGGCGCTTTATAAATCCAGATTGTTATAATTATTATTAATAACATTGATGGTCCTAGCATGGTAACCCTATATCAATACGATTTCACACATAGTTGTCACTTTGGGTTCAACATTACTAGGTGCCTGTGACACATGGGTGCTCGAGATCAAAGCTTAGACCTTCAAATTTCATAATTTTATCCCCGATGCAAAAGAGTCGGTGTGGATCCTTGGATGGGGCCAGACATGTTGTGACTCTATGAATGAAAGGCAGTGATGAAAAAAAGGAGGGGAAGGCAAATGTAAGTACATTTCCCACCTCTGGTGTGAAAAGCAGTAAACATAAAAAGGGAGTGAAATTTAAGGACATATGAGTGGTGCAGTAGTTTAGCGTCTGAAATATCCCTGTGATAAAGCCGGGGTAATAATATGATTGCAGGGCTCTCTGGGAGAACAGTATTGACACTGTTGAGGTAACCCTGGGTAAACTAAATATATTATTATTATTGTTTGACGTTATTGCCTATTGTTCTCCAAGTGGGATGTGTGCGTAGGGGCAGATATTTATAGACTTGTAAAAGAGGGGTCATATGCATGTACATTAAAGGGATAGTCAAGTTCTTGTTTAGGACCCTATTGGCTGGAATAAAATGTTTTTTTTTTCAATGGCTGGTTCAAAATTACAGAATATTTGTGGCGCACCACAAATATTAGAAATGGTTATATTTATGGATATTTCAGCCGTTTCAGTACAAATTTTGATTTAAAAAAAGATGACTTTGTCATTAAAATTGTATACTCTTTCAAATTTGACACTCAGTTTTTCATTATCTCACAAAATATATTTTGCAACAAAACTCAGCTATCCCTTTAATGTTATATTATCTGAAATACAGACCTTCAACCATTTTTAGTTAGCTTGTATACGTTTCCTTTTATACGCAGGCACTAGTCGTCTTCTGCTAAGGCCCAAGACAACGGAGGAGGTATCCCAGATTCTTGCCTACTGTCACTCCAGGAACCTAGCTGTAGTACCCCAAGGAGGCAACACTGGTCTAGTTGGTGGCAGCATACCTGTTTTTGATGAGATCATCCTATCGACGACCCTCATGAATCGAATCATCAGCATCGACGATACATCAGGTGAAAAGACCAACAAATATTTCCTTATCGAGAGAAGGTTAAGACTTTTTGGGAAAAATTAAAAATAATTTAGGAACTTTCTAGCTCATTTTGTCAGTTTAAACGACTGTTAGAGTAGATATGTGCTCTGAAAAGGATTGCCCTTTTTAATGCCTCTTTATGAGAAATATGATGAGAAATAGCTCAAAAGTTCAAACTAAACTTTCAGGGCAAATGTTTGTGTAGTCCCATTTACCGGATTCTGTGTGCAGTCTTCACACTGTATGTAGTATTCCGCAAGATTTAGCCACTGCCAAATTCTTTTGATGATTCCAGAACCTCTTAATATATATCCCAATGACTATGTAGGGCGCAATCAACCTTTTGCATTTGCCTCCAGACAGTTTCTTTCACATTGGTAAAAAAAACTAATGATAGTAAAGGATATTTATATGGAGTATCAATATTCAGTCACTGTACATTTTAGGATAAGGAAAGAGATAGAAATAGACAGAAGTAGGATGTAAAATTCAAATCAGGTACCAACTAAACTAACCCTAATTTAACGTTTATGTGCAGTTGTCCGAAAGAAGTTGTAGATGGCATTAACCAGTATTTGCCATGCTACATCTCCTTTAACTAAATATGCTGCTAAACAAATTGAGTTTTTGGTCTGTTTTTATAAATCGCATGACCAATACTTGACTTCATCTTTAACTGATATCACAGGAGTTTTAGTCGCCCAGGCTGGGTGTGTACTGGAGAAGCTGGATGAAGCCGTCAGTGAGCATGGTCTGGTCATGCCCCTGGACCTGGGTGCCAAGGGAAGCTGCTGTATCGGCGGTAATGTTTCAACCAACGCTGGAGGCCTACGCTTCCTGAGATACGGCTCTCTGCGTGGCACAGTCTTGGGTGTTGAGGCAGTAAGTTTAATGATAGCTCTTAGGATGATGATAATGATGATGATGGTGAGGGTGATGGTGATGGTGATGGTGAAGATGGTGATGGTGATGATGAAGATGAAGATGAAGATGATGAAGATTATGATGATGATGAAGATGATGATGATGATGAATATGGTGATAATGATGGTGATGATGATGATGGTGGTGATTGGGATGATGATGGTGATGATGATGATGATGATGATATTGAAGACGACAATGATGATGATAATGATGATGATGGTGATGATGATGATGATGGTGATGATGATGATGATGGTGATGATGATATTGAAGAACATGATGACAATAATGAAAATAATGATGATTAGGATGATAATGATTATACAGTCTTTTTTTATCCTTTTTTTTTATCCCTGATGTGTAGGTACTCTCTGATGGAAGGATAGTGGACTGCTTAACATCGCTTAGTAAAGATAACACTGGTTATGATCTGAAGCAGCTCTTCATAGGCTCTGAAGGAACCCTGGGGATCATTACTGGCTTAGCCATCAAGTGCCCCCAGAGGCCTAAAGCTGTCAATCTAGCCTTTCTAGGTAAGATCAATCTGAAAGCATGTACTGTTTCAGCTGATATCTTCGTGTATAGATATTTTGCGAATGACAGGCTAAGAGACATTTTCGTGAGTTGTTGCTTTTGCGAATAGCACACAGCAGAATTAATGAATGGGCACGAAGTTTCTCACACCAACAAAATACACACAGACTCGGCTACGTAAGTACACACACAAGTTTAGGCAGCCCATCGCACCACATACAGCCTCGCCGAGTATCGAACCGGTACGTACGAGGATTACGTGCCTGCGTCGTGCATGCAATCTGTGCAATATGTGCGCGGGCAGGAGGCGACAGCATTGCATTACGAACATAAGGTAGTTACTAGAACTAGTATAATACAGAAGCTAGCGATCGGAATGAAGCAAGCACATAACTTTATGCTGATATTTTCGCGCTCCGGTATGATGAGGTGCGAATATTTTTGGTGTGTTGATAAATTCACGATAATATGCAATTCGCAAAAACATAAAACCCTCGCCAAAATAACGGCTTATACTGTAATTTATAATTTTAGAAATAATGATGGGCTAGTAATAATGATAAAATAATGATAATTTTAATCTCAGGGATGCCCTTGTTCAGGTGATATCATGACATTGGGGCCTTGTATAGATCCCCATTTCGGGCATTGCATTGAACAGAACATATGAGAATCAATCCAAAATCTCACAGTCTCTTTTCAGGCTTAAATACTGAGTGAAGCAACTGGTATCCCTGTATAAACCTATTTATCAGGAATCGATCGATCAGAAAAGGTTGATCATCTAGCATATAAGTATTGATGTGTACTGCAAGATTATGGAATCATCAAAATTATAAGAAATTTGGCTTACGGTAGTCTTGGTAAAGTTACATGTACTGTACAAAGAAAGATATATATGGGACTAGGCGATATCTAGCAAGGCCGGATAGATATGATAATATACCAAATATATCAAGTATTTGGCAGTTCCCGGCAAAAATTGTATCATAACGTATTAGTCCAAACATATTCTCTCACATGATTGGTAATAAAAGCTTCCATTTAATTTTTTGAGAGGGGGGCGTTTCCAAAACTGGTCTAAACCTTTAAAAAACCAGTACATGAATTTCAATGATTCTTGAAAAGAATAATATTCCATTATTTCTGGTTTGGCTTATTTTGTGATATAGATTCACAAAGAATTATTGAATGAGAGATGCTTAAAATGCAGAAAAAGCAAAAGCTAATGCACACTCTGTGCCCATTGGTATAGAGTTACTATATTTTGCTTGGTTCTACGGCCCTGTCGTTATAAAAAGTTTAAATTGATGCAGATTGAATCGAACACGAGTCCTCCAATAAATTCAGAAACTTTAAACTCCTTCATGTACTTTGATTTTCAAGTTGCAACTGATTTAAAACCAATCGCAACTCTTTAAAAGATGGAGCCAAGGAATCAAAAAGAGGAATGTAAGCATTTAGATCTTTTACGATAAGTTGAGTTCTGGTCATACAACTGCATTGTGAAAGAATCAATGTGGAATCGATCAGAAAAAGTTGATCATGTAGCATATAAGTATTGGTGTGTACTGCAAGGTTCTGGAATAATTAAAATGACAAGAAATTTATCCCAGTCTTGGTAAAGTAACAAGCACTGTACACAGAAAAATGTATGTGGGACTACACAAACATGTGGCATAAAGATTGGGCCTCAAGCTGTTCCTTGTCATATTTAGAATATGAAGGCATTTGAAGAACCATGCTTTTTAGGGAAGATTTTTTTTTCTCCGATGTTCTTCCACACTTACATAATAGCAATGATAACGCTCACAAAATTGTGTTCACCTCTCCCCAGAACTCAGTCTTCTCTTTTAATTTTCACTCTTCTACTCTTTTTGCAGGGCTTCACACTATTTAGCTCTGTTCCACAGTGGGTCCCAAGGGAAATTGTTTGGGTCTCTTTGCATGAGGCCCGTGTGAAAATTTTTAATTTGTTTGGACTTGGATTCTGTTTGCCCATGTTTATTGGGCATGCACGTTTGTATTAAGCCCTGCTCTTAGTTTTTTTTTCTTTCTTAATAAAGTGTAGCAATAAAGAGCAGTAATGAATGGAACAAATAGTGGACTTCAACAGTCCTTGTGAATATGTACAATATACTCTGAAATAGTCTGAGATAAAGAGTTCTTGTAGCTCCTCAATGATCCATTTTTGGTTCCATCTTATTATATTCTTCAGGTGTGACAGATTTTGAGAATGTCAAGAGGACCTTCAAGGAGAGCCGAAAGAACTTAAGTGAGATCTTATCAGCCTGTGAGGTCATGGACCATGAATCTATGCAGGTAGGTAGACATCATCATTTTGAGTCATCACCAACTTCTTACCAATATTGAAATTGAAATGAAGCATCAAGGAGGCACGATAGCTCAGTCGGAAGAGCAGTGGTCTCGTAATCCGGTTACCCGGGTTCAAAACCAAGTCCACGCACTAGTGCCCTTTGGTAAGGCATTAATTCTCATTATCAGGTCCCTCGGAGAGGACCTAAAGCCGTCTGTCTTCTGGTTGCTTAGTTACAAGCATTTATTGCTTTCTTAGCTGTCAGGTAAAATAACCGCCACTATCCATCCATGTTTGCCACTGAGACATTTGTTTGTCACTGTTAAAAGTTTACAGATCAATTTACAAAAGAGATAATCTAAATCATGGAAAACAGTTACAATAATGGTAAAATACATTCATAACAGCTTTAGTTGGGAAAGCTACATGAAATAAGTTTTGTATGATGAGGATGTCGACAGAGTGAGAGACTGGAAGAGGACGAGAGGTAAGCAGGCAGAAGAGTTGGGTAGAGCAGTGATTGTGAAGAATGAAAAAGTTGATAAGAAAACATGTAGCAAAAGTAAGAGCCATGTTGTTGGCCTGTGCCTGATCCTTCCCAGTGCATGTGTTATTCAGCATGTCATAGCTTGGTAGATGGTCCGTAATCCAATCCTGTTTCTGAGCATCCTTTCAACATGTTGATTGGGACCAGTGGACCTACATCTAACATTTTACCAACCCCACTACCCCCACATTTCTTTCTTTAAATCCTTGTGATACGTTGCTATAAAACAGCTAGTTCTAACCAGCCCTGTATCCGAGCATCCTTTCTACATGCCAATAAGAACCAGCTAATCTACTCAAATTACATTCTGCGAACAGGGTTAACAGCATTTTGGTTCAATGAAACCATGAAAGCGACATGTAGCCAAACCTCCAACATAATCCTGAAAATACTCTTGCAGCTATCCATCTACTAACAGTCAGGATAAGTAGGAGCAATGGGAATAATTAGTACAACAATATTATTGTTCCCCAGTACTACCGGTAGTCATTTTCCTTAAAAAGTAGGAGCAGACCAAAGTTACTTATGTCCTATGACAAATCTTTTTCATCCTTTTCTAACTTTGTTACAGGTTGTAGTGAAGCAGCTAGGTCTAACCAACCCTGTATCTGAGCATCCTTTCTACATGTTGATTGAGACCTCTGGATCTAACAGTACTCACGACGAAGAGAAACTCAACGCATTCTTGGAAGATGCCATGTCCACTGGCTTCATTTCTGACGGCACGGTGGCTACGGATGGATCCAAAATCACGGTCAGTTAACACTCCTCTGCCCTAATTTGGCCAGGAGGGATTAGACCACCCTGGTAGTCACTGACAGGTGGTTATCTCACCAACTCAGCTCTCATTTAACACAAGAGAAAGTGGATCATGGGGGACCAACAGGCACTGCTTAGGCATTATTTTCTATAAAGAGGGAGCAAGTAGACAAGTAGTGCAGTGGAGATTTAAAGGGAAAGTCCACCCTGAATATTAAGTTGATTTTAACAGAAAAAGAAAAATGAGAGAAATGAATCAGTGAAAGTTTGATTAACGTCTGGCCGAAATTAATAATGTTGAGCATTTTCTTAGGTTTTAATTAATCAAATGTAAATGTGAAAGGGGGAGTCCACCCTGCTATTTAGTCGAGTTTAACAGATGAAGAAAACTGAGAAAAATGAATCAGTGAAAGTTTGATGAACCTCTGACAGAAATTAATGAAGCTATGTCTTTTCTTAGGTTTTAATTAATCAAACGTAAATTGGCAAGTCTTTTACGTAACTTTCAAACTTCTCTCCATTTCTAATTAGTACACTTTAAAGCTACAGATGGAAGAGTTCTGGAACCGCAAATATATTGTCCCAGACCTGATATGGAAAATGTTATTTTACATTCACTACGATGTACGATTGCTATACCGTGCAATGTCTCACCTACAACATTTAATTTGTATTTATTTATTTCATCCAGTAATGAAAATATCTTAATATGACCATTAACTTTTGATTATTTATGATACCACTAACACAATTCAATGCATTTATATCAAGAGAGTGTTCATTTTTGGATGAAAGACATGTACAGTTATATATTGGAAATGAAGACATTTGTTGTAGGGGACACATTAAAAATAATAATAATAATAGGTATTTCTATAGTGCCATCTATCTAGATAATTCTATTCCGAGACACATTTATTATTACCCCGGCTTTAGCCTAACAGCCGTTTATACAGCGCTCCAGCATTTCAAGGAATTAATTCCTGCCAGGTACCCATTTACATCACCTGGGGTGAGTGTGGCAAATGTAGATCAATGTCTTGCCAAAAGACATTAGTGCCGCAGCGGGACTCGAACCGCGGACCTTGCGATCGACAGTCCGGCGACATTCCACTAAACCACCCACATGTACTTCTTGGAGAACATAGAGTAACTTGGAAAATGCAAAGTTTAAAAGTTTAGAAAATTTCATTTAGTGTATGATGACGTTATATACCGGTAGTCTAGACAATATTTTATTGCTCATGTTTTACAGGCACTATGGAGTCTGCGGGAACGCATCGCAGAAGGTCTGGTGAGGATGGGATGGTGTTTCAAATACGACCTTACCATCCCCATCAAAGACTTCTACGGACTGGTCGAGGAAACGCGCCTTCGTCTTGACGGCACGGACTCGACGGTGGTCGGCTACGGTCACGTGGGGGACGAGAACCTGCACTTGAATATCGTGACGCCAGAGTACGACTCCAAAGTCCACGCCATCCTGGAGCCTTTCGTTTACGAGTGGACGTCGGAACGCAGAGGTAGCGTGAGTGCTGAGCACGGGTTAGGCTTCTTGAAGAGAAATTACATCGGGCTTTCGAAGGCAGCCGAAGCAGTCCACATCATGCAAGGGATGAAGCAGTTTCTGGATCCAAAGGGAATCCTGAACCCATACAAAGTTCTACCACACGCAAAGTCATGATCCTTTTGATTGATTCTATTTTAGTTTTATTGATATGAAAACATAAAAGGGATATAATGTGATTATTTTGATTCGCCCAACCTAGCATGTGCAAGTCTAGGTTGCAAAGTGTTTATCAATTTGTTATTTATAAAACGCGCAACTGGAAACCATACAAAGTTTTGCCGAGCCCTAATTATTGAACCACATGATTTCTCTTACAAGACTGTATAAAGTACAAAACATGTCCAATATTAATCTTCCATAGTTACATATAAATGGCAAGGTTTGAAGGTATTAAAAACAAATTTGAGTTCCAATTATGCAACCCCATTGTGAAGGAAACTGTCTGGAGGCAATCGGAAAAGGCTGATTGCCGTATGTACATTGGTGTGTACTGTTAGGTTTTGCAATCACAAACAACAACAGCAAAACTAAAAATTGAGAAATTGACTCTGTCTTGCTAGATAAACATACACTACACATGGTACAGGAGGTTGTTCCAAACACTTAAAGGGGCTGTAGCATGACAAGACTACATCTTTCCCGTGGCCTGACTCGGGGCCAATCGGGTATGATACGACTACGGACAACGCGACCGCAGTAGGCCTATATGTATTTACATTCACGCAACATACGCGAAACCGAAGCGTGAGGAGAACTTCGGTCTGTTTCGTAAACGCTGGCGAGCGCTGACCCGGTTAATCAAGTCCATTTGTTTACATGCAGTTGTCCAAAAGAAGTTGTAGATGGCGTTAACCAGTATTTGCCATGCTACAGCCCCTTTATGTTGCTTTTCATTCAGATAAGAGGGCATTTGAACAGCAATCCTTTTTAGGGGTTTGTTTTGTGTTATATGCTTCCAAACTGACATTAAAATAATAAGACATCTCATGAATGATTTGTTTACCTTTATCAAAACTTGATCTTCTCTTTAAGCACTTTCTTGATTCCAAACACATCTTGAACCCCTACAAAGTTTCGCCACACTTTATCAACAGGATGGACCTTTTAAGTAGTGCAATCGATTGAATGAAACTACAAAACATGTCTATTTTTGTTTTTGTAGAATTTAATCAAGTAAAAAATGTGAAGGTTAATTGAATCTTTTTATTGTTGGTATGTTAAAGTGTACCAATCATCCAAAAATAGCTAGAATATGTCAGTTCAACCCAAAATAGATTAAACTGGCTTTTTAAGTGTTTGTATATCTACATATGTACGGGTTTATCATTAAGGAGTACCGTTGTGAAGAAAATAAGGAATTACATAAAACTGAAAAAAGACCTTCACGGAACCCAAATTAGACTTGGGTTCTGTGGTGGCCTTTTTATAAGTGTGCTATGTCTAGTCTACTCACAAGATGCTTATGTGTTGAGTGTAGTGAATCTTGCAATATCTCTTTGTAGAAGTAATATTTTGATCTAATATATTGAATATAGAAAAGCAATGTGGAACCCCAAACATCGAACCAATAATTAAAGAAAGTTATGAGTGTTTGAAATATGAGATCACTAACTCTATGTGAATCTCAGATTGGCAATTTGTTCAGTCGATTGTGACATAGTCATAGACAACTCTCCCGTCTTCTATGTAGAACAACATTACCTTTTTCTGTTTTTATCCTTCACCATTGAGGCACTACCTAACATGTATTATGGATAGCATATTATCATGACCCTTTAGATTGATCAGTGATGTTCTGAGAAGATATTAACTTTACAAGGATAAATCATACTTTCACCATTACATCATGAAAAGAGTTATGGAACATATAATGCTAACTTTATGGGCTACAAACTACTATGGTGCGAGATCCTTTCAACTGGCAGCTGCAGAGTTATGGAATAAATTGCTTAGTCATCTTAAGCAGGTTGATACAGTAGAAAATGTCAAGAGTCTCTTAAAGACACATTTTTTTTTTGGTTAAAATAGTACAATGGCATGACAAAGCAGTTATTCTCTCTCTTCTCTTCTCTCATGTCTGCTATTATCCCTTCTTTTCTTTTTTCTGAGCGCATAGGGACTTAATTTAATTGTGTTATTTGCGCTATTAAAAGATGAATGGTTTATTATTATTATTATTATTAACACTGTACCTTCGTCTCTACTTGAAAAAAATGTTTTGAAGGTTTAATTCTTATCTATTGCAATACAATACTTTCCATCACAATACCTATGAAGTGTAGCTGTACCACTCAAAATCACTTCCTAGTAATTACTTTACTCCTCTCGATGAATCCCAGTACTTCAAGCACTGCACATTTTGATAACCTGACACTGAAGTGATATTAATAGTGATATCATCGTAGCTTTATGTGTTTTAAATTAATACTTTTACTAAAGAAATACATGTGATGTGAACTCGGAGTACAATACCGAGTTAATTGCCATATCTCTTGAAGCAAGTGTCCCTTCTTTTTTTTAATATTTTTTTTTTCTCGTACAGCTCTAAAAGATTCCTGCTTTATTGTGTAATAACGATAATGATAATTTAAAAAAAAAGATTATGATAATAATAATAACTATAATACAAATAATGATAATAGTAATGATATTGATGATAATGATAATGATGATAATGATAATAATACTAATGATGATAATAATGATAATAATAATGATAATAATAGTAATAATGGAATCTTCTATCGCACTCATATCTGACATATTTTCACTCCTGGTGCTCTATTGTTTTGACCTCAGGCTTTTGCACGGCTGCCATTACAGCACTCCAGATTTGTAAGAATTAATTCCTGCCATGTATCCATTTATGTTACCTAGGTGGAGGGTGGCAAATGAAGATTAATATCTTCCCTAAGGACATGAGTGCTTTACAGGGATTTGAACCCTTTACCCTGTTCATGAGGAAAGTGATCACGTGACGTAGCAGTCATGTTAAATTGATTTGTGATGTATTCAACTTCATTTCTACATATTTGTAAATTATATACAGAGAATTTTTAAATAAAAAAAGACAATCTATCAAATCGATACACCTTTCTACCCTTCTTTTTAAGTAAATGTTGATTGTAAATGAGGTATGAGATCATTTTTTTAAAATACATGTTGATGATTCCTTCGAAATGGTGATGATGATAATAAAGAAGAGAATGATAATGATGATTCTGATGATGATCGTGATGATGATGATAATAAAGAAGAGGATGATAATGATGATTCTGATGATGATAAAGATGATGATCGTGATGATGATGATACTGATGATAATGATAATGATGATGACGATGATGATACTGATGATGATGATGATGATGATGATGATGATGATGATGATCGTGATGATGATGATGATGATGATGATGATCGTGATGATGATTGTGGTGATGATGATGATGATGATGATGATAATAATGATGATGAAGATGATGATGATACTGATGATGATGATGATGATGATGGTGATGATGATACTGATGATGATGATGATGATGGTGATGATGGTGATGATGATGATGATGATGATACTGATGATAGTAATGATTAAAATGATGATAATGATGAAGATGATAATGATATGATCATGATGCTGATGATGAAGGGGAGCAAGACTGGTGACAATGGTAAAGGGCACATGGAAGTTGGCTCTCATGGGGAAACTGATCCCGTGTGGGTGTTTTACTCAAGACAGGAGCTGTCAATTACCAGGATTAGCCGTCAGTTTTATGACCAACAAGCTTTATTTCATGCTCGTGTCTTTTTCCCATATGGGAAAATTCCTTATCGGACATTTCTTCGAGAGACGAGGGGGTGTTTCTTGATGGGTTTGCTGTGTCCAGACTTTTCCCGGGGGGTCTCGGTCATGTAGAAATACTGTAAGCATACGTGACCACGGGTTTTCCAGGCACCCCCTAAACTAGTAGGATTTCTTCTGAATCTAAAATACACCCTAAATGAGGATTTTGCGTAGTTTTTTTTTTCAAGAATTCACTCCCTAAACGGGTATTTCAAAAAAGTGTACTCATAAACAAGTATTGTAAAATAATTATTGTAGCCCCTTGCACTGGCGTACTGATGGGGTCATTTTCCCTAGAGCTCGCTCGCTACATTTGCTCGCATTTATTGATGCAATAATTATGTTACTTATAAATTAAATTTTTCAATCTTTCTTCATTAAATTGTGCTTAATACTCATCAGGGTTTTTTTTTTTTTTTTTTGGGGGGGGGGGGGGTCTTCTTTAAAAGATGTTATTTTTCGCACTGAGACCTCGCAAATCTTATAATTTTTGATCGCTCGCTTCGCTCATTTAACTTTTTAAACTTTTTTCGATACGCTAATGAGAATTGTTATGGAAAACGAGCATCGTTTTGTTTGCACCCACCCATAATACCGTGGCCTCTCGTTTGATGTTTTCCCCTCTAGCAATTTAAGCAAAATTACTAACAATTGGAAAAGTAAGTATCTTAATTACGAAGTAAATTTTCTTCCTTTAAATTGCCCGCGATCTTTACACTATGTGATCCATCATCAACATTGCGTGTAAGTGTTTGATATTCACTGTAACCTGAATTTCATTATATACTATTTTGTCTTCTTCTTTAAACGGGAATTCTAGATAACCTCTACGGCACCAGTACTACTATTTTCATTTGGCTAGCTTTTCATTAAATCTACGAAACTATTTGTATTCCACCTGTCTTGTCATTTTACTGTTATGATCGCAAATCAAGTTGACGTCAACATTTCCCTTTGCCGAATATAATACAACTCTATTCCTTAATTCTCTCGTACGTGATGTATTCGATAAGAAATGACTGACTGCTAATTTCCCAAGGGGTAATGTCTTTGGAGTAATTTGTTTAATCGAGCTGTCATCGTAACAAAGATACGACTTCAGGGCATTCAGATTAGATAGGCGAACACGGTATTAAAATAGATTCCTACGTTGCTTTTAAATATGCCCAAAATCATTGACATTGGGTACGTGGGTAACAAGTTGCCCTTCCGCTTCAAGTAAAAACAAAAACGCCCGTCTATCATCTTTTTGTCCAGTGTGTACCTGTTCTCTTTATCTAGTGATTAAGAGGGGGGGGGGGGGTCCTTCCCATATGCCCCCTTTTAACCCCAAGTGGCATACCTTAAATGCACAACTATATCCCTGCCATTTTATTATTATATTTGTTGGGGGAGGAGGGTTCGCAAGCCACATGTAGAAAATGAATGCAAGAACTCCTAATCTCCCTCCCTCATTGTTAATCTAGAAACGCTCCCCGTTGAGGTCGTATTCAAACAGGATTGTGATAGAAAGGGGGATGTGTTCGTGTGTGCGTTAGTGTGCGGTGCGTTATGCGTGAGAGAGAGAGAGAGAGAGAGAGATAAGGGGAGGGAGGAGGGGGAGG